ACAGTTGTGACATCTGGCTCGTTTGCTTGTTTTCATCTTGGGGGAATTCTGTCCAACAGTTCGGCTTTTAGTAGCAATATTTTAACCAGATTGGGTTTGTTTTGGGGTGCCCACCTTTCTGGGTGCCTGACCCAGTTGATGGCAGATACAGAATGCTTCCAACTACACAGAGGTTTCTATAGACCATTGCTCCTCGTGCCTCTCTGAGGGAGACAGATCCTGGGGCGTGGTCCCCCAGTAGGCCTAGAACTCCATTCGCTTTAGCTGATGCCAGGGTCTAATACATTCATATCAGCCCAGTTAGCTCCAGGGAGCTGAAGGGGCTCCCCCCAGAAATATGGTGTTTATATTAGTAACACGATTATTATACAGTATTCTTAAAACAATACAACAGTGTTTTTATGTTATTACACTGCATATACACTATATACAGAATATAAATATCTACATTTTCATGCAATATTGCAAATCACTAATCATTTCTGGGGAGTGTAATAATCTTATAATTGGTTATTAGAGTGCAGCCAAATTCTGTATTTTTTGTACGAAGTTCTAACAGTGTGCATTAAAATATATAATATTTTTTCATATTTTAAAAGTTTTTATCATGGTTTTTTAAGTGCAATGTTGTACTGTATTGGGTTGTCAATAATATTATTTGTATCATAGAACATGTAGAATATTGGTATACATATATTCGCATCACTAATGTGAGTTAACACTTTTGTCCGGTGGCGACGGATATTCCGTCGATAATTAACTTTACGGATGTCCGGCAGAGAGACTTTTGCGTCCGAAATTCAAATATTTGTAAAATTCCATTTATTGTTAGATTATTATGGGACTAGTTTTATAATGCGCGCCTTTAGATTGCGAACAATTTGATATGCAAATGAACGACGTAACAGAAATTGAGGTCAGAACACTGGAAAGATTATAAATACTTGTGTGGTGATGAGCGTCCAAAATTAAAATATTTGTTAAAATTACCATTTATTGTTCGATTATTACGGGACTAGTTCTAAAATACACACCTTTAGACTGTGAACAATTTGATACCAAAATAAACAACATAGCAAGAAAATTGAGGTCAGAACACTGGAAAGAGTATACACATTTTAGTGTGGGTGCTCGCTCCCGGGAAATGACAGGCCCACCTTGAGGTGGGTTCGGGTGCGCACTTCGGGCGGAGTAAAGTGTTAAATATTATATTCTTTGAATAACAAAACATAGTGTTTTTGCTGTTATTATACTGTATAAACATATTATGTATAACTATCTACATGTTTGGGCATCATAATGAATTACAAAGCTGCTCTGATGAGGCCAAGCAGCATTGCGCCACCTCACACTATACAGCTGACGACGCACTTGACTCGACAAAATTCCTTCTCCCAACACACTATGCACATTGCTAATTCTAGATACAATGCTGCTACAGTATTATCAGAATCCTGGTCACTAAATTTTGAAAATTAATAATTTTCCACAAGTTTATTAATTAAAGGAACATGAGCTGCCATTTCAGGATGCTCAGATGCACCAATGTGCACCACAACACACAACAATGTCCTGTGGCTGTCTGCATCATGCTGTGAACACCATACATCATGAACACCATTGTGTTCACTGATATCTGAACACTGTACATACTCCACAATTTTGTTTTCAAAATGATAACTGTTTACTAAGATACTGAGGCCTAAGAAAGCCAATGCGAGTCCCCTGAACCCACAGGAGTTTTAAATCTTATGTGGTGTGTTAAATTATCACTAGACTACTGGCGCAGATTGGTCAAATATGCAGCGGTTCGTCCCAGATTGACTTGCGCCGATGAAGGGTTAAAAGAGTAAACTGTGAAAAGGCTGGCACAATGATACCCAAGCAGAGGCACCCTTCCATGATGCATGAGAACAATGCTGGACAGAAGAAACACCAGCCAGAAGGAGTGCAATGACTCAAGAATCAGTTCCACTGGATGCCTTCCCTGACCAACAACCAGCCATGGCCCAACCCAGAACAACTGCCTCTGAGCAGGAAGGACAGACACCCTCTGCAAAAGGACCTAAAGGGGCTGGAAGGCAGCAGCAGTGGCCAAAAGAACCGGAGAATCAGCCTCCTCAGGAAACAAAGGCATGAAAGGGGTGACAGCCAACGTTAAGGACCAAGCTGAATTGAAAACAAGCTAGAACAACTAGGTTGTCTCAAAGCTGCTCAGAGAACAGCTCAACAACTGCCCAAATGTGCAAGAAAAATTCAAAAGTGAGCATTAGCTCTGTGATCCTCCCCAGTGAGGACACCAGAGAATAAAGGCAGCTGGAAATGGAGCTGCCACCTGTCCACAGCATTTGGACAAAGCAAAAGAAGAAGCTCTTAAGCAGTGGAAAAGTACCACCGAAACTCCAAACTCTGAAACCTGTAGACCGGGAGCAAGCAAGACCGGGGAATGGAGAATTGAGGCCTGGCAAACCACACTATACAGGGCCGGGGAAGGACGAGAGAGGCAAACTTGGAATTGGTGTAATTCGCCAATCCCTCCAAGTCCCTAAACATAATATGGTCAACATAAGGGCATCCACTCAAGCACCAAACCACATACAGCAAATATGAGAGAACTGTCAAAATGTAGCGAGGCCGACGGACACCCATCAAATTCACAAGTAGCGAGAGATTCAAGAGACCCTTGCACTACCCAGGGTGAGGCACTCTACATAGCAGTATGGCTTCTCAGGGAGCAAACTCTTGAACCCATCAGAGAATATACTCTGTCAGAGTTTGGGCAACACCAAACAAGCACCTAAGGTACAATCTAGGTAAGGAAAGAGCAACCCTAAATACTGTACATGCAACTTGAAACAAAGAATAAACCAAGTCCATGCAACAAGTCTAGAAATACATACTCATGAAGCAAGCACCAGACACGAACTATACGCAAGCAAATGTTCCCCATATGACAGCCTTAAGGTTGCCCAAAAAATCTTGAAAAAAAAGAGACTCACCAAAGCCAGCGACTGGGAGAGAGGTCCCCACTTGTAGACATCAGAGACAGGGCTGAAGTCTGATGATGTGGGAGCTGGGAACTTCCATTGGAACTGCCATCTGTTGGTGGCCAGCCATAACTAGGGGTGGTGGGGGTGTGGGGGTATGGGTTTGATCTAACTATTTAGTGAATTGTTTGCAGTCATTTGCTGCTTCAGTTCTTTTCTCTGTGAACCTTGCAGTTGTCTGTATTGCTTCACTTTCATGATGTTTCCTTTGATGAGGGTGATTGTAACAATCCCCTGCTCCCTGTGCCTCTGTGAGGAAGGGGTCAGGTTCTGGCTCTGATCCCTGGTAGGCCATTCACCACTTCTAAGGCTGATGTGACTCATCTGTGTGGAGCTACCTAGTTTCAGGGAGCTACCATTCAGCCTACAGAAAAAAAAGTATTGGTGTAATTTTTCACACATTATACAGTGTTTTAAATACAAGAGACTCTCAACTTTATGCAGATGTGCATACCAAAACCCCGCATGTTAAGCATGACCTGCATAAGTTTTAGTTAAGGATATAATAGGACAAATAGGATGCATTCCAAAACAAAGAATTTGATTACCCAGAAAATTAAAATGTATGTACTGTAATATATAATTTTATTGGCACACTATATAGTATTTAAGATGAGATGTCCAGATCAAATCTAAAAACTAAAACCAGTGAGCCAAATATATAAGGTTTTAAAAAAATAGGCTTAATGCCTTTATCACATCAATAAATGCTCGAGTCAAAATTTTCTGTTAACTTGTTTTCAAACTGATAAATAAAAATGTAAGGAAGTATCATTGTGCAAAATGGCACAACACAGACAAAGAGGAAATCAATTGATGATTTATATATTTAGCTGCCAAGACACAACCCCATCACATGAACCTGCATAAAGCAGAGAGTCAACTGCAGTTAATGCCACACACCTTTCACACAAACCTGAGCCTATACAGTCAACCCCTCCAAACACCAACCTTAAAAACTGTAACGTCCTCTAAACTGAATGACGTGTTTAGTTTTGCTTTTGCCTGCTCATAATAAAACAAATTCATAATAAAACCTTTCCCTTTCAAACAAGAAACTCCATTCTAAACATGGAACAAATTTCACGGTCCCACAGTAGCAAGGATTAAGTCGCAAAAATATCCCGCATGACAATGACAAACCAATGGTAAAGAATAAGTTGGCTCTTATGATCATGTTTATCAAAGACACTGAAAACTAACTTTGAAGCACTTGATTAAATAATGCCATAAATAATTGATTTATGTGTTTCAATTACTTCAGTTCAATGAAGAGCTATCTCAGATAAAACTTGTTTACATGATCAGCTTCAGTGAAAATATAAACAAACTGTGTTTGTTCTTAAAGTAATAGGTAATAACAGGATAACTAATGCTCGCATTTAAAACCAATTATTAGATTCTATATAAATTAGATTTTTCATCAATACTTATTTCAATGTAAATTGAAACCATAGTCTAGCTACAACATCTAATCTGTCCAAACAACAATATTACAACAAAATCCTTAACCTCCCAACAAGGAAACCCTTCTAAAATAACTTTTGCTTGGTCAAAATAGTGTTTGGTTTAGAGGGGTTGCACTGCATATCTTTCTGTAATATTTGTCATATTACTTGTTCATGCCAAAGGCTGACTGGATGACATATAGTTTTCCCACACTCTCACCTTCACTTGCACATGTTCCTGAATACACACTCACTTAACATCATATACATATTTGTTCCATTTTTTATACTATTAGATGCCAAGTGCTAAAATGTATCACAGTAAAGACAAAAGGTTTATTAATATAAGCCAGAAACTTGGGAAAATTCATACGTTTCAACTAAAGCACTTGCCAAACACAAGTTGAAGAAATTGAAAAATGATGACTACATTTACATTATTGGTCTTTTTTTTTTTTAATTCAATGCAATGAAAGATTACAATGGCCATCAAGATATGATGTACCTGGTTTTGTGATGTAGTGACGGATTTATGCAGAGGCAAAGGTTGAGTCAGTTGGGTCATATCTACATTGGACAGCCCAGGCGTTCCATGTCCTAATGACATGCTGCATGTGGGATCCACATGCAGTAGAGCAATACTTCCACCCACACCTATACTTGAAGGTACAAGAATGTGCGACGTAGGCGTAACAAGCTGGGAAGGGGAAATGTGTGTTGCTTGGTCAGTGTTCGTATTTGCAATGGGTTCTGAACTTCCCTCGTGCACTGCATTGTTCCCAATAATTTCAGTCTTGACTAATCTAGTTCTTAAATTACGAGTCACAATTTCTGACTCTTCACCATTTACACCCTCTTCATCTTTTCGCCTACGTCGTGCTTTCATTCTAAGAGCAATATTTTGTCGCCTTACAGCACGTTGTTCTGCAGTTTCACTTGCTCTTCTTTTCCTCATTCGTTCTGCTGCCTTCATGCGACGTACAGCCTTTTGTTCATCACTTTCCGTGGCACGTCTTAATCTCATGCGGTCTGCAGCTTTCTGCCTGTCAACCAGTCGCTCTTCTGGGGACATAGAAGCACGCCGATTTCTTGCACGAATAGCCGCTTCTTGTCGTCTTCTTAACTTTTGTGAATCGTCCTCACTTGATCTTTTACGTCTCATTCGCTCTGCCTCTCTAATCCGACGTAATCTTTTCTGCTCGTCTGATTCTCCAGCTCGTTTTTCCCTCATGCGCAGAGCAATTCTAATTCGACGCTCAACTTGGGCCTCATCCGACAGCCTGGGCCGCCGTCGCTTCGGGGTTTCTGGTTCTGACTGCAGGCTATTGGTTTCATCAACAGCTGCTGGCTGTAGAACAACCACTTGTCCAGGATCAGTGTCTGGTGGAACAGTATTCTTGTTCATTGCCTGGAGTGAAGCATTTACCTGTATGTTCATCATCAGCAGTTCTGTGGAGGAAAATAAGACAAAAGCACACACATTTTGATAAGCATTGCTGTACACATTGAATGAATATTAAAGTTTTTTTTATTTTGTAAATTGTGATTTCATTAGCCAACATGAATTTATAAAAGTAAAAGAGGAAATTATATACAAATTGAGATATTGTGAGGTGTCTTCAGAAAACTTGACATTATAAAAAGGATATACAAATATTGTAGGGTAAAGATGCTGGTCTTCTGCCACTTTTAATATTGATTGGTATACAAAGTGAAAACAAAATCCTAGTGTTCAACTCTTGGTCTGTGACACTGTTTATAGGCGCCAACATCCTCATGCAAGGGAAAACTTTTCCCTTCTAATATTGTTAAAATGAATTCCCCTGAACACAGAGAAAAATAAAAATAAATTTATATGACTTACTTTGGCTGTGGTGAAGCAAGGAAATCTTGTGAAATCATGATTCACTAGCGTTTATAGAGCAATCTTCCGATGGAAGTCGCCCCCGGCCACGCACGGGGTGGGAGTTACAGCAACGATATTTTTATATATTTATTTCAATGTCTCTGATATGTTTTTCCTCTAATTCTTTGCAATAATATTATTCAGTGGCATGTCATTTGGGAAATTTATATAATAAAATGCATGGAACATCAGAATGCTCAAATATATTTGCATCACTAACATGCACCACCACATGATGTGCTTAGAATAAAACAAACTGTTTTTGCTGTCATTTCACTGTATACACACTTCATATATAACTAAATTTTCATGCACCATTAGTGTTTAGCCTACCTACCTACCTGTTGACTACCTACTGATGATTCTGAGGATCAATGTCGCTCTGGTCTGATCAACCAGGCTGTTCAATGTGGCTGCTTGCAGTCTGATTTATGAGTCACAGCCTGGTTGCTCAGGTATCCTTTGAAGGGGCTTGTCGATTTCTCTTATGAACACTGCGAGAGGTCGGCCAGTTACGCCCCAAATGTGTAGGGGGAATGGTGTTGAAAAGTGTTGGGCCTTTGATGTTGATCGTGTTCTTTCTCAGAATGCTTGTTACACTTCTGCTCTTCGGTGGGGCTATTTTGTACATACTGCCATGCCTTCTGGTTTCATGTGGTTTTATTTGTGTGTGCAGATTTGGAGCCAGTCATTCTAACATAATAACTTAGAAAATATATCTCTCCTGCCTGCACTCTAGGGAATACAGATTTACAATTTTTAGGTGGTCCCAATAATTTAGATGTTTTTATTGAATGGATTCTAGCAGTCAAAGAACTTTACACGCTCTCCATGTCAGCAATTTCTCCAGCTTTGAATTGGGTTGTTAGTGTGCAACAATATTTCACTCTAGAGAGTACTTAAAAAGTATCATTGGTGTGTCATCTCTTGTTTGGAAGGTTCTTGTTATCCATCCTATCATTTTTCTTGCAGTTGTGACAGCAACTTTGTTGTGTTCTTTAAAAGTAAGGTCTCCCGACATGATTACTCCTAAATCTTTTACATTGCTTTAGTTTCAAAGGAGTGGTTTGACTTTCATTTATATGTGGTTTCTGTTTGATATTTTAATTTTTTTCATAATGCAGTAATGGAATTTATCCTCATTAAACATCAAAAGTAATGAGTAATTTATCCTCATTAAACATCATGTTATTTTCTGTGGCCCATCAAAATAATTCGTTAACATTGGATTGGAGGTTTGCTGTGTCCTCTATATTGTCTACTGTCATGAAAAACCCTAGTGTCATTTGCAGAGGATGATACAGTACCATAGTTTGTATCCTTCTCAATATCTGATATAAGGATGGGGAAAAGTACCGGAGTAAACACAGTACCTTGGGGTACTGAGCTTTTCATGGTAGATGATTCAGATTTTACTTTGCTGACTGTTAAACTCTGGATTCTGTTTGTTAGGAAGTTAAAGATCCCTCTCCCTACTTTGCCAGTAATTCCTTTTGTGTGCATTGTGTGTGCAATGACACCATGGTCACATTTGTCGAAGGCTTTTACAAAATCTGTGAATATTACATCAGCGTTTTGTTTATCTTCCATGGCATCTAAGGCCACGTCATGGTGGTCTAGCAATTGTGAGAGGAAGGAATGCCCTGTTCTGAACCCATGTTGTCCAGGTTATGTAGACACTGTGATTCCGTGTATTTTGAATGAAGTTGTAACTGCACACATTGAATATATTGTATTTTCTTTTTATTTTTAAAGATTTTACCATTTTCTCCAACTGCAAAGATGCACTTGGTTGCCAATACTGTTATTTGTATGATAAAACGTGATGAACATAGCTATGCACAAAAATATTTGTCACTCATATGTGCACAGTAATATATACTTTGAAATAAACAACCAGCGTTCAATGTAATGAAACTCCATTTTCTGGGTGAGACCCGGAGGCTCCCTGGAGCTATCACTGATATGTGATATATTAGTCTAGGACATTAATCAATGGAGTTTAGCCTACCGGGGACCACGAGCCAGAACCTGGCCCCCTCAGAGAAGCAAGGAAGCAGTGCCTTCTGGTTGGGGGTATTCCTTGTCTGCCATTGACCGGGGTTAGGCACCCAGAAAGGTAGGCATAACAAAACAAACCCCACTTGGTAAGAAAATTGCAACAGAAAACTGAACAGGGAGACAGAGCTTCCCCAACTCTCAAAGAAACAAGCATACAAGCAAACGTAACATCACTGCCACCACGCCGCTCATCTGTGCAGCCCCCACTCACCAAGAGGGGGGGGGGGGGTGAGCCACGTGCCGGCTGCTCCAACCACCCGTTCGGAGGCTGAGTATCAAAAGCAAAACGAAGCCAGCGACCGGAGGGAGGGAGGGTGCCAGGGAGCCTCTGGGGCTCACCCAGAAAAAGGCATTTCATTACATTCAACGCTGGTTTTCTGTGGAGAGCTCCTTGGGCTCCCTGGAGCTACATAAACCAAGATAAGTACAAGAGGGATTTACCCGGGGTGGCAGTTGTTACGAGCTACTAAGCTCGAAGGTGAGACAACTGGCTGCAACCTGCGACCCAAAACCACACACGAATGTTCAGAATCAGGAATGTTTACCAAGTAACGGGCAGCCAGGACACTGTTCGAACATCAAAGCAGCAAACTTACAAACATCATGGGCACGAGGATAGACCACAGGCTGGCTAGACTTAATAACCCTGTGGACAACCTGGGAAACCCAAGTCCTGGAAAAGGAAATGAGGAAAACCGGATCAATCCAAAGCATGTCCCCTGCCATGGAGGCTGAGGTGCACAGATAACGGTGAAGTGCCGCAACTGAATAAAACACATGATGCACCCCAGGCCTGACCAACCATGCATCAATGACGCAAGGGCTCCTCCAGAAAGCCGCCGTCTCATTCTTCGCCAGAAAAGAAGGAGGACGACTGCAACCAAACAAACTGACCACCAGGACCGAAAGAGCAGAAACCCCCTGAACCGGAGGAGAGCATGAAGCTCGCCAACCCGACCCCTAGAGGCCAATGCCAACAGAAACAGAGCCTTGGAAAACAATTTTGAACTGAAGGGGCCACCACAAACTGAGGAGAAAAGAGAGAAAAAAAAAAGAGAACCCAGTCCAAAGACCAGGATGGCTCAGGCAGCGCATGAGCAGGCTTGACATGAAACAAAGCACAAGAAAACTTACAGAATGAGGCAGAAGTGACATCCACCCTGTATGCAAGCTGAAGCCAGTACCATACGGTATGAGGCGACAGTATCCGGCATCAAATGACGGTCCTGAAAAAGCCAAGAAAAAAGGACAAGATAACCCGAACAGAAATAGAAGACAACCTATGAAGAGCCAGAAAATGGCAAAAAGATCGCCAGGAGACTTCATACTGTCACCGAGATGATACCCGCAAGTGGGACACCATCAATAAAGCCACCTGATCACCATGCAAGAGATAATATACCTGCATAAAAAAAAACAGACGCAAAGAGCGGAGGAGTAGACCGATCCAGCCATGTACCGGAATGGCTCGATCCGCTGAAAGAGGCGGAGCCATGGAAAACACCCCAGGTTCGTACACAGAGCAAGTAGCTTCTGAAACCATGGCTGGGCCGGCCACCAAGGGGCCACTGAGACGACTCTCCCATGGTAAGACTCCAATTGAGCCAGAACCCAAAGCAACAGCTTGGGGATGGGGCTCTGCAGTCGGAAAAGGGCACCACATATATCAGGAGATGCCGAGACCACACCAACACAAAAAGGTCCACCTCCGGGAGCCCGTACGTCTGGCAGAGCCAACCGGAGTCGACGTCGACCGCCCATTCCATGGAAAGGAGAATGAACTGAGACAGGCCGTCCGCCAGGAGGTTGGACACTTTCTGGATATGAACTGCATGGAGAGCCAAACCCCGAGAATCCAATAGATAAGTCACTCGAAGCGACCAGCCCCAAAGACCCAAGGACCAAAGAGAACCCCCATGGTTCAGACAACGAATCACTGGAGAGCAGTCCGAATGGAGTCGGATCGTTGAACCCTGAGCAACCAGAACCCGCTGAAGCGGCAGCCAAACCGCGGCAAACTCCCACACCATGCTGTGAGCTTGATGGAAGAACGGATCCCATCATCTCTGACCGGCCTGGTGAGCACTGGTCACAAAACACCAGATGAGAGACAATGCATCCATGAACACATCAAGCGAGGGCTCAGGAAGGTGCCAAGGCACTGAACCCCGAAGAACCTGAAGAGGAAGCCGGCGATGCACCAGCCGACGCAAGACCCATGGGGCCAAACCCAGCGATCATGAAAGAGGCAGAAGGGGGTATCCCCTGAAGGACCAGAACAGATGCCGAAGCCAAACCCGACCCGGCGGGAAAACTAGCGAGGCGACATTCAGACTCCCGCACAACTGCTCGAGCAACCACCGAGTGACCTTGGACCCCCCTAGAAACAGCTGAAGGCAAGACCGCAGCCGCAGCCATGCCTTTGGAGGGAGAGACAAGGAAGCGGTCCAAGAGCCCCACACAAGGCCAAGCCAGGTCCAAA